TTTCTGTAAATCAAAACTGTTCTAGAACTAAAATCAATTTTAAAAGGTTTTTTTAAAAGGTAGCTGCAGAAGAATGCATACAATATAAAACCATTTTTATAAAAGTTCAAAATATAAAACAGTACTCTGTATTGCATAGGGATACCAGGGAGAGCTTCATCCTCTACTGTCACTTGGAGTCTCTGTTTTTCTGTTTCACAGGTATGTTTGTCTTATTTTTGAGCCTAGTTGTATCTTTATATATTCTATATATGTGAAAATATATGTGTGTATATACATAGATATGTGTGTATGTATGTTTTGGGAGCAGAGAGAATGCATCCAAGCAAGAACTGACAGAGCCATCTCAACCAGAAGTCCTCTTTATTTTTAAAAAATATTCGTATAAAAGGAAACAGTATTAGTATGGGTCTTTTCTAATAGGTGAGAAACTTGAAGTCTGTTTTCACATACCCCTTTCTATGGTTATTTAATTTGATGATGCTTTCATGATGAGTATTTGAGAACAAAGACATGAAATTACTTAAGTGAATGGCAAGTCAATTATTCTATGCCCTTGCCTTTAAGATATAAACATTCATAAATGCTAAATATGTGAATATCCAGGTTTTAAAGATTTTGAGACAAAGATTCTGCTATTTGTTAACAATATATAGTGTATTTATTTATACATTTCAGTGGTTAAGTCACTTAAGTGAGCTCTATTTTCTAGCTCTTTGCTTTTGTTGCTCCTATCTGAATTCTTCCCTAGTTCCTTTAAGCTATAAAGGACATAACTAATGTTAGCTAATGTATGAGATCTTTTCTTATCCTCCTCCTTCTTTTTTTATTGTCTTTAAAAAGCACAAGATCTACACTCTTAACAAATTTTTAAGTGTATAATACGGTGTTGTTAACTGTAAACAATGTGGTACAGCAGATCTATAGAACTTTTTCACCTTATGTGACTGAAACTTTATACCATTGAACAGCAGCTCTTCATTTCTCCATCCCCCAGTCCCTGGCAACCACCCTCCTACTTTCTGCTTTGATGAATTTGAGTACTTTAGATATTTCATATACATGGAATCATGCAGTATTTGTCCTTCTGTGACTGGTTTATTTCTCTTAGTTTATAGTCCTCAAGGTTCATCTGTGTTGTAGCCTATGACAGGAGGTCCTTCTCTTTTAAAGCTGAATAATATCATATAGTATGTATATGGCACATTTTTTTATCCATTCATTCTTCATTGGACATTTAGGTTGTTCCTACCTCTGGCTGTTGTGAATAATGCAGCAAAGAGCATGTGAGTGCATATATATCTTCTAGATCCACACTACAACTCTTGGATAAACACCCAGAAATGGTATCGTTGCATTGTGTGGTAGCTGTATTTTTCATTTTTGGAGGAACTTCCACACTGTTCTCCATAGCAGTCGCACTGTTGTACATTCCCATCAATAATTTGGTTTCTCCATATCCTTGCCAGCATTTGTTATTTTCTGTTGTTTTTTTTTTATAATGGCCATCCTAACAGGTGTGAGGTGATACCTCATTGTGGTTTTGATTAGCCTTTCTCTGGTGATTAGTGATATTGAGCATCTTTTTATATATGTGTTGGCCATTTGTATGTCTTCTTTGGAGAAATGTCAGTTCAGGTTTTTTGCCCATATTTTAATTGGTTTGTTGTTGTTATTGAGTTGTAGGAGTTCCTTATATATTTTGGATCTTAACCCCTTATTAGATATATGTTTTGAAAATATTTTCTCCTATTCTGTAGATTGCCTTTTTACTCTGTTGATTGTTTCCTTTGCTGTGCAGAGCTTTTTAGTTTGATGTAGTCCCACTTGTCTAATTTTTGCTTTTGTTGCATGTGCTTTTGGTGTCATGTTGAAGAAATCATTGTCAAGACCAATATCAAGCTTTTCCTCTATGTCTTCTCTTAGGAGTTTTATAGTTTCAGGTCTTACATTTAAGTCTTTAATGCATTTTGAGTTGTTTTTTCTGTATGGTGTAAGATAAGGGTCCAATTTCATTATTTTGCATGTGGCTGTTTAGTTTTCTTAACATTTTGTTGAAGAGACTATTGTTTGCAAACTTTTAGAAGATCAGTTGATGACAAATGCATGGATTTATTTCTGGGCTCTCTAGTTTGTTGCATTGGCCTATATGTCTGTTTTTATTCCAGTACCATACGGTTTTGAGTCCTGCAGATTTGTAATATGTTTTGAAATAAGAAGGTGTGAGGCATCTAGAATTGTTCTTTCTCAAGGTCATTTTTGCTATTTTGGATCATTTGTGGTTCTATGAGTTTTGGAATTTTTTTTCTATTTCTATAAAAGATGCCATTGAGACTTGGATAGAGATTGCATTGCATTGAATCTGTAGATTGCTTTGGGTAGTATGGATATCTTAACAATATTAAGTCTTCCAATCCATGAACACAGGATATCTTTCCATTATTTGTGATTTATTTCAGCATTATTTTGTAGTTTTCAGTGTACAAGTCTTTTATCTCCTTGGTTAAGTTCATTTCTCAGTATTTTATTTTTTTCAATGCTATTGTAAATGGGATTGTTTTCTTAATTTCCTCATAGTATTTTTTTGTTGTTAGGGTTTAGAAACACACCTGATTTTTCTATGTTAATTTTGTATACTGCAACTTTACTAAATTTTTTTATTAGTTCTAACTTTGTTTGTTGTGTCTTTAGTGTTTTCGACTTGTATGATCATTTCATCTGTGAACAGAGATAATTTTATTGTTTTCTTAATGATTTGGATGCATATTATTTCTTTTTCTTGCCTAATTGCTCTGGCTAGAACTTTAAGTACTATGTTAAATAGAAATGGCGAAAGTAGGCATCTTTGCCTTGTTTCTTTTCTTAGAGGAAAAGCTTTCAATTTTGCCATTGAGTATGATGATACCTGTGGGCATTTCATATATGGACCTTATTATGTTCAGGTAATTTCCTTTTATTACTAGTTTGTTGAATATTTTTATCATGGTGTTGAATTTTGTCAAATGCTTTGTCTACATCTATTGAGATGATTATGTGACTTTTATCTTTCATTTTTTTAATGCATTGTATCATATTGATTGATTTTTGTATGTTGAACCATCCTTGCATTCTAGGGATAATTCCCACTTGGTCATGGTGTATGATCTTTTTAATATGCTGTTGAATTTGGTTTCTTAGCATTCTGTTGAGGAATTTTGCATCTATGTTCATCAAGGATATTGGCCTATATTTTTCTTTTCTAATAGCATTGTTGTCTCAGTCAATATCAAGGTAATCCTGGCCTCATAAAATGAGTTTGGAAATGTTTCCTCCTCCTTAATCTTTTTGAAGAGTTTGAGAAGGATTTACATTAATTCTTCTTTAAATATTTGATAGAATTCACCAGTGAAGCCATCTGGTTCTGGGCTTTTCTTTGATGAGAGGTTTTTGATTACTGATTCCATCTCTTTACTCATTGTTGTTCTATTCAGATTTTCTGTTTTTTCAAGATTCAATCATGGTAGGTTGTGTGTTTCTAGGAATTTATCCATTTTTTCTAGGTTATCCAATTTGTTGATATATAATTGCTCAAAGTAGTTTCTTATAATCCTTTTTATTTCTGTGTCAATAGTTGTTATGTCTCCTCTTTCATTTATGACACACTATGCCTTTTGGGGAGTTTAATCCATTTATATTTTTAGTAATTATTGATAGCAAAAGACTTACTATTGCCATTAGTTGCTTTTGTGTCTTGTAGCTCTTTTGTCTCTCTATTACTCTCAGCTGTTTTCCTTTGTGGTTTGTTGGGTTTTTTTTGTAGTGATATGCTTTGATTCCTTTCTTATATTTCTCTGTGTATCTTCTACAGGTATTTTCTTTGTGTTTACCATGGGGCATACATAAAACATAGTTACAACAATCTGTTTTAAGCTGATAACTACTTGAGTCACATATAAGAACTCTTTTGTTGAAGTTTTTTATAGCATTCCATTCCTAATAGAATATTTTCTCTTATTTTTCTAAGGGTATTAGTTATAGTTTTTTCAATTTTTTTCTCCTTTTATGGTCTCTGTTTTCTCCCATTTACTTTCTTTTCTGTGTTTCTGTTCTGTTCTCTGTCTTTCACATTCCGTTCTCAGATGCCAATAATCCATTCTCATATTTATGACTAGGGACTAAAAGCTAATTGGAAACTCTGAGCACAGGAGTTATACCCTTGTTGACTTTGAGATTCACTTTAAAATGGTGTGGCTGGACCATTTGTTGGAGAAATTCTTCATAAAATTCATCAGTATTTTTACATTCTTCCTCTTGGGACTTACCAGTTTCCCCAGAGAAGATAGTTCCAAACTCTTTCTTGGGAGGGTACTACCAACATTCTAAGAACCAAATGGCAGAAAAGGTCTGGGAGGAACACAGCAGTTAGTATGCATTCTTTCTCTTTGTCTCCTTGCCTTCAAAAACATTATTTACATCTCCAGCTATATATGACATTCCCCATCCTCCAACAGTGAACCTCCAGTATTCTACCATGATCGGCGAGTTGCCTTTACCCAGTAGCATATTGTGGGGGAGGGTATTTAAAAATAGAATTGGTTTTCAAACAGTCCTCAATCTACCCCCTTTACTTTAACTCTATTCTTTCACATTTATTTCCAGAGGTACCTGAAGCTATCAGTTCTTGATCTATTTGAGGATTCATAAATGAAGATTGGGTGGATTCTTAGCTTTCCCCACCACTGGTTTAAGATTTAGCTTTCTTGAATGTGCTGAGCTGGTTCCTACTCATCCAATTATTTTCCAGCTTCCAGAATATTGAATAGCATTGCCTCCTTTCCTTGTTCTTCTTGACTTTGTCGGTTTGTGTTTAAAAAAAAAAAAAGTCCCTATAATTTTAGAGAATTTTCTGGAGGGAGTAAAATTAGATGTGTTCAATCCACCATCCTTATAAGAAAATAATTCTAACCATAATGGAAGAGTTGCCCTATGTGATATTTCTTTTGATCTTCAATTTGTATTAGGTATTATACCTGAAGAACCTTAGCCCTCGGGTGACTGAAAGAGATCTTGTCTCACTGTTCGCTCGGTTCCAGGAGAAAAAAGGCCCTCCAATTCAATTCCGAATGATGACTGGACGAATGAGGGGTCAGGCTTTCATCACCTTTCCCAGTAAGTAGCTTCATCTATATAATTAGTTGCAGCATCAGTTCATTAGAGACTGCCTATAACCTCTCCAATTTAGGTATAGCCCTTTAATTTCTTCACAGCACATGAGAAGAAGAGAAGTAAGGAAAATATGTTTTCAGTGTACCTCTCTCCCCATTTCTGTGCTTCCTCTCCTCCATTAACAGCATATGACCACCTTACTCCAGGGTCTTCAATTTTTCCCAGTCTTGGCATTTACTTCTTACCCCACCAAAGTGTACTCTCCCTTTCCTGACAATAGTATTTCTAGTCCAAGTTATAATTAAATTACTCATTAATTAATATATTTGTATGCTGATCAGAACGCATGTACTTGTCTTATTCCCTATTCCTTTAGGACTACGTGACTGTAAGCTTATGTACTAATTCATAGTTACTGGATGAAGGTACATTCTTCCAAATACTGTTTACGTGTTAATCCATGACTTCAGACTTCTAATCCAAAGGGAAGAAATAATACAGGAATTTCAGTTTCTGTGACAGACTAAACAATATGTCTTTTTTGAGGGAGGCTGAGTAGGATCTGTAACTTTCCATGTCTCTAAACTATCATCATTTATAAATAGCCTGCTAATATATGTGTTTTTACACATACGTACTGCCAAACTCTTCTCCATTGTTTTTGTACTGTCTTGTACCATCTTTCCTATGTTATTGAAGGTTTGTTGATCCTCTGTATCAGTGGTTTTCTGTGTTTTCAAGTGTGAGGACCCCTTTTACATTTAAAAAATATTTCATGGACCCCCATATAATATGGTCAATTAATTAAAAAATACGTAATAAAAAAGGCTTTTATAAACTAAGTACAGATGCTTCTCGACTTAAACCCATTGTAAGTTGAAAATAGCATAAGTTGAAAATGCATTTAATACACCTAACCTATCAAACATTATAACTTAGCCTAGCCTACCATAAACATGCTCAGAACACTTACATTAGCCTATCGTTGGGCAAAATCATCTAACACAAAGCCTATTTTATAATAAAGTGTTGAATATCTCGTGTAACTTATTGAGTAACATACTGAGAGTGAAAAACAGAATGATTGTGTGAGTACTTGAAGTATTGTTTCCACTGAATGTATTGCTTTTGCACCATTGCAGAGTCAAAAAATTGTAAGTCATGCTATTGTTAAGTCGGGGATGGTACTTTTAAATGTACAGCTGTTTTACTAATCATAACAGCAGCTATACACATTTGAAAATTTGTAGTACTTAAATACAAGACAAAAGTTTGTTCACTCTAACGATGTTGTCACCTTGTGATTCCAGAGACTCCTGGCCATAATCCACCCCTTCCTTGTTTCCCACATTCAGACTCTAAGACCCATAAGTTGAATACTCCTGCTGAACACTATATATTCTCACACCTCAAGGTTTCATATGCCTACAAGCATTCTTTAAACTTATTTATCTTAATAAGGGCTCCCCAAAACACTCTCCCAGTAAAAGAAAAAAGTAACAAAGTGTCTCAATAACATAACTTATTTGTATTATCTATTTTGAAAATGATTTCATTCTCATAATACCTAGAATCTATTATCTAAGATAGAGGCTTGTGTATAATTATAGCTTATACTTCTTTAACACATTGTCTATATCCCTGTTTCTTTACCTATATCTTTGAATTAGAAGATACTTTCAAACTCCATTTTGAGTTTTTGTTGTCATTCTTAGCCATTAATTTAATCTTACTGAGTTATACAAGTTGGAAATTATAGAAAAGATGATAAAATCAAATGACTTTGTGGCCTTATAGCCTGCATTTAACTCCATAACTCCAAGGCAAAACAGCCTTGACCTGAAATAGAATTGAATTACTAAACCCTATGTAAATTGATATTTTTTTTCTTTCTCTTTTAGATAAGGACATAGCATGGCAAGCATTGCATCTAGCAAATGGATATAAACTGCATGGGAAAATATTGGTGATAGAGTTTGGAAAGAACAAAAAGTAACAGTCAAATCTCCAGGCTGCTTCTCTCATATCATCTGCTGCAGATAGCACTACAGAAATCAGTGATAGCTAGAATAAATATATATAGATTGTGAGTCCTGGCTGGTTTTAACATCCCAATCTTGTATCTAGGATTGTGTATAGATAGCAATTTGGAGTTGAAGAGGAGAAACTGAGAGAGAAAAAAGTAATTAAGACAATCCTTTTCAGCTTTTGGAGAGAATTGTTAGAAAACATTTTCTATAATCAAAGACTCTATAAAAGAGACAATATGCTGAGTATGAAGGGTAGGATACAAAGAGTATTATTTTTTCAGGATAAATTACAAAGAATGATTCCTGAGAGTTTTTTAAATCCTTATAATTTTTCTGAGATCATCAGTATTTCTCCCTATAGATAACATTCTTTCAAAAACTGCCTCCTATATACAGAACTAAAAAGCTGAACAGATGTTGAAATATTTATTTACTGAAGCCCATTTGTCCCTAATTTTATCCACCCAGTAAATAAAAAAGCAGGACCCCAGGTAGTTCTGCTCTTATGTCAGAACTATCAGCAGTTATGTCAGAACTATCAGCAGTAACAGCAGGTACCTTCATAAGTCAGTCGACGTATTTAGTAAATGCTTCCCTACTAAGTTATCAGAGTTTTCAAAAACCTACATTTTTTTAAATGAAATCTTTTATATCAAAATATTGGTATTTTCATGGCTATTTAAGCTAGATACCATTGAGGAATTGTTGAATTCAAAGCAATAAACATTCAATAAATGTCTAGTATATATTAAATATTAGGTATATGAATTTTAGAAGAGTGTATTAGTCCATTTTGTTGCTTATAACAAAATACCTGAAACTAGGTGATTTATAAAGAAAACAAGATTTATTGCTTACAGTTCCTGAGGCTGAGAAGTCCAAAGTCCATCTGGTGGTGGTGACAGTGACCCAACTGTCTCACATTGCAAGATGGTAGAAGCAGAGAGAGAAAGACAGACCCTCCTCTTATTTTAAAGCCCTCAGAACCATGCCCCTGACCATCGTTTTTAATCCATTCACTACAGCACGGTCCTACAATCTTATCACCTCTTCAAGGCTCCACCTTTCCATTACCATAATAGGATTTCCCACCCTCTTAACAGTCACAGTGGAGGCCAAGTTTCTAATACATAAAACTTGAGGAACACAATTCAAGCTTCAGTGAGTTTTGTGGGACATAATTCAATCCACTACAAAGAGGAACATATTGGCAAAGAATACTAAAGGGAAGTGGGAAGAAAGAGTTCTGTAGAAAAGGATGAGGACCCAGTTCCAAATCCCCAAGTTGTTTGTTTATAGATTTCTGGAGAATAGAAAGACAACATGGTATAGAGGAAGTGATACAAACTTTGGAGTCAGACCTGTGTTTGAACCTCACAGCCACTCTTACCCTTCTGTGACCTTGGCAAGTCACTTAATCTCAGTTTTGTCATCTGTAAAGTGAGGATAATACTACTGCTCACCTCATTTGGTTGTAAGGATTAAATGAGATAATATTATCCAGGCTGAGGACCAGAAAGAAAATATAATGAATAAAATTGAACAGTATAGGGCCTGTGAGACACCATTACATACTCCAACATATGTGTAATGAGAGTGCCAGAAAAAGAGCGGGCTGGCTGATTAGCTGAGTTGGTCGGAGTGTGGTGCTATAACACCAAGGCGAAGGGTTTGGATCCCCATACCAGCCAGCTGCCAAACAAACAAACAAACCAAAAAACAGAAAAAGGGAAGGGAAAGGAGCAGAAAAATATTCTGAGAAATAATGGCTATAAACACCCCAGGTTTGATAAGAAACATTAACCTACACATCCCAGAAGCTCAGAAAACCCCAAGTAGGAAAAACAAAAAGAAATCTACAAATAGACACATCATAATAAAGTTATCTGAGACAGTAATTTGAATCTACACACCGCAAAAGAGAGCACATGTAAAGGTAATTATGTAATTATAAAAGACAATCTAAATGCATATTTCTTATCTAATTTAAAAAGCAGTTATGGGGCTGGCCTTGTGACTCACTCAGGAGAGTGCGGTGCTGATAACACCAAGGCCACAGGTTCGGATCCCATATAGGGATGGCCGGTTCACTCACTTAGGAGAGCATGGTGCTGACAACACCAAGTCAAGGGTTAAGATCCCCTTACCAGTCATCTTTTAAAAAATAAATAAATAAAAAATAAAAAGCAGTTATGTAAAACAGTATATATACAGTTACATTGTTTGGCCTATAACATAAAAAATGTAATATATTTGCCAATAACAGGACAAAGGAAGTGGGTGTAAACAAAGCTGTATTGTATTAAAGAAATGACTCCAGATGGTAACTCAAATCCACAGGAAAAAGTGAAGAGAATGAGAAAAGGAAAAATAAGGTTAATATAAAAAAGCTATAAATATATACTTGCTCTTTTTTCTTCTCTCAGCTTTTTAAAAAGACATAAAATTATATTAAGTAATAATTGTAATAATGTATTTTGGGTTTATAACATATGTAGAAATAATATGTATAACAATAATGCCACAAAAGGGAGAAAGGAACGGGTTTATATAGAAATAAGGTTTCTATATATCATTAGGATTAAGTTAGTGTATATCTGAAGCTGATCAAGTTTAGTTAAGATGTGTATGATAAGCCCTAGAGCAACCACTAAGGAAATAACTTTTTAAAAATTGCAAAAATATTAAAATTTAAAAGTTACATTAGAAAATAGTACAAAAGGGGCCGGCCCGGTGGCGCACTGGAGAGTGCGCCACCTGGGAGCATGGCGGCGCTCCCGCCAAGGGTTCGGATCCCATGTGGAGACCGGTTCCTGCTCACTGGTTGAGCGCGGTGCAGGTGCAACACCGAGGGTTGCAATCCCGTTGCCGGTCCCCGGTGTGGGCGCGACACCAAGGGTTGCGATCCCGTTACCAGTCAGTAAAAAAGACAAAAAGGAAAAAAAAAAGGAAAATAGTGCAAAAGAAAGCTAAAAGAGGAATGGAGAAGCAAAAAAGTTTGAGGCATGTAGAAACAAACAGTAAAATGACAATTGTAAATCCTCCCATATCAGTAATAACAATAAATGTGAATGAGATTAAACAATCTGATCAAAAGGCAGAGCTTGTCAGACAAGGAAGAAAAACAAAACTCAACTCTTAAACTGTTTATTAGAAATAAACTTTAAATTAGAAGATACAAAGAGATTGAGGGGAAAAGGATGGAAAACAAATATGTTGTGCAAACAGCAACTATCGAAAGCTGGAGTGGCTATACTAATATTAGGCAAAATAGAGTTTAAAACAAAAGATGTTACTATAAAGAATGACATTTTATAATGATGAAAGGGTCAATCCATCAGGAAGATGTAACAATTATAAACATATAGGCACCTAACAATAGAGTCCCAAAATACATAAAGCAAAAGCTAAAATAAATGAAAAGAGAAATAGTCAAGTCTACAAAAAGAGTTGGAATATTCAGTACCTCACTTTCTTTTCTTTTTTTTTTTTTTTCCCTTTTTCCATGTCCGGCAACGGATCGCAACCCTCAGTGTCGCCCCCGTACCGGACCGGGACCGGCAACGGGACTGCAACCCTC